GAAAAGAAGAGCTTACGTAAGCTGGAGCATTATCTGTTTTAATCTGCATAGGGCACCCTAACACAGAAAAAGCTGCTAGGCAATGAGAAATTACATTCTGAGTATTTTCCTTAGTACGTGCTGTGGCAAAAATAAATCTAGAATAAGTATCCACTATGACATGCACATAACATTGCTTACCAAATTGAGGAATATGAGTTACATCCATTTGCCATATTTGATTTGGTTTTAATCCATGGGGATTTACCCCTGATGGTAAAGATGGAGTGTGAATAACACACTTAGGGCATTGGCTTACAATCTGACGAGCTTGTTCTCTAGTAATATTAAATTGTTTACGTAAGCTAGAAGCATTTTGATTATGTAAGGAATGGGAAGCTAGTGCACAGTCATATGAAGACATCTGTTGACAAAAAGTTACTAATTTATCAATTTTGTCATTACCTGAAACTAAGGGTCCTGGAAGATTAGTATGAGCTCGTATGTGTCCTATGAAACATGGGTACTTTCGCATTAGCACTGCCTTCTGTAAATTATGAAATAATTTAAATAACTCTTGTGATGAAGTATACCCAATAACTGAAGTTTCAATATTTTTAGTAACTCTGACTGCATATAAGCTGTCAGAATAAATATTAATAGGCTCATTTGAAAAGTAATTTAAGGCACAAATCAGAGCTTGAAGCTCTGCTCTTTGGGCAGAAGTATAAGAAGTTTGTATTACCTCTGTGTGAACACGACTATAAAAACCTGCTTTACCTGAGCTCGAACCATCAGTGAACACTGATAAAGCTTCATCTATAGGATGTGCACGTACAATCTTTGGAAAAATAAGTGACGTTAATGATGCAAATTGTATAATCTTATCACGAGGGTAATGGCTATCTATCTGGCCAGGAAAATCAGCAAAGGCTATCTGCCATAAGCTAGAAGTTTGAAAAAGCCAATTAGTCTGTTGAACAGAAAATGGAATGATTATGATATCAGGCTCAGATCCAATTAATTGTAAAATCCTAGTTCTACCTTTAATTACTAATTGAGCTATGGAATCATGAAAAGGAATTAATGTTTTTTGAGGGGAGTGGGATAAATAAATCCACTCAATAACTCCTAATAGCTTTTGAAAATCATTAAGGGTTTGTACGGAAACTATTTGTTCCGCTCCGGTAAAATTAAAGATGGCGGCCCCCATGGTCGGTGCGATGACGTCACATTGCGTGACCATCACCTACTTCCTCATTCTCGGCCGGGGGAGGGGCCGACCGGAATTTTGTGTTTCGGCCAGGCGGGAAATGATGACAAGAAGGCGGGCTCATCCGCGCCATCTTGATCTGCCACGTGGGATTGAGTCCTGCAATATCTATTATCACCAGTAGATGGAGCCCTGAACTTAAAATTGCGCATGTGACACTCGCGCACAAAATGATTACTTTTCCCGCAAACATAGCATCTCCCGCGGGGCTTTTGTACTAAATCTTGTGGCCTTAAGGTTTCTTTTAGTGCCGCAGCTAGGGCTACTGTCTGCAAATGGGTAGAGTCTATGTCAGAACATAAGCAGATAAACTCAGAAACTGTCCCTTTTTTACGGTGTGGCCTAAGAACGTCCTGACAATAGTTATTTGCATTTTCAAATGCCAATTGTTTAACAATAAACTCACAAGCCCCCGGGTCCCCGAGCGACCTGTTTGCGGCCTGGTACAATCAGGCTACGAAATCTGAGTAAGGTTCATTCGCACCCTGCCTGATTTTGGTAAGACCTAAATTGGATTGGTCTTTAGAGACAATCTGTTTCCAGGCACGTTTCGCAAATCAGTTATTTGATTGTATACTACAAATTCATAATTTAACTGTCTTTCTAAATCAGTAAATTCACCTGTTCCTTAAAACATTTCTACCGGCGTCTCTAAATTTCGTCTTCTATTTCTTTCTGCCTGTTCAGTACAAAAATCAGTCCAATAAGTACGCCAGAGCAAGAAATCTCCCCCAGTCAGGCAAGATCTAGCTAAAGAAATCCAATCACTAGGAGGAAGGGGCTGCGAGCAAATATTTTCTATCAGGCTCTGTACAAAAGGCGAATTTGGACCATACGTCTCACATGCACTTTTTAGTTCCTTAATGGTTTTAAATGGGATTACAGTATGAACTCTAACTCTCTGATCTTGCTCATTAACTTGCTCAAAAACTGGAAAAAGTTGAAAACCGCTAGTATCCTCTCCAGCTTCTTGAGCCTTCTTAATACCTCGCTGGAACGGGGTAAGAAAAGTCATTGTTAATCCAGAGTACCTGTTAAATTTTGTCCTTTTAACAGGTAATGGCCGAATTCGAATAGCCTGGGCAGGCGGTGTTAAGCGCAGCCTGTTAAAATTTCTCTGTAAGTCCTGAATTTCAATGTGTGATTCTTCTCCCTCGGACTGCGAGTCATGGGTAGACTCTGCGCTGTCGCCATTTTGAAATTGGGCTTCTAAGCCACGTGGCGGAGAAGAACTCTGTGCCCCTCTAAGAACCTCTTCCGGATTTTCCTCCCCAGGACGATCCTCTACCTCTTCCAGAGGACTTTCTAGGACTGTGGAGGTTTCTTGTCTATGATGTTCCTCTCTATAATCTCCCTGCTGGCTAGCCTGATCCTGCAAGTTTAAAGTCACATTCTTTTTTTTTTTTTAAGAGAGAGTGAGAGAGGGAGAGAGCGTGCGAGAGAGAATTTTTTTAATATTTATTTTTTAGTTCTCGGTGGACACAACATCTTTGTTTGTATGTGGTGCTGAGGATCGAACCCAGGCCGCACGCATGCCAGGTGAGCGCGGTACCCCTTGAGCCACATCCCCAGCCCTAAAGTCACATTCTTAACCTTCGGTTTGGCCCCTAGCGCCTTTGTTTTTAAAGGGCTCAAGGGAAAGGGAATTAACTTAGCCTCAGGCGGATTTTCCATTTGAATAGACCTAATAGCTCTCTGAATGCCTTTTAACAGGTCTTCAGGGGGCCACGAACTTTGGCCCATATATTCAAAAAGACAAACTTCCAGAGCCGTCCAAGTCTTCTGAATATTATCTATGCCTCCAGGTAATTCATTAGAAAGACAAACTTTTTGTAACTTCCTTCCTAATTTCTCCCAAGTAAGTAAATTTGGAGACTCTTCACCTACAATCTTTAAGAATTGTAATAACTGAGTTTTCTTTATCTGTTTTCCTTTCTGATTAATTATACTGTCTAAAATAGTCAGATACATTTCCTTATCCGTAGAAGTTGAATTTCCCATTTTAATTAATTTAACGTCTCTTTCCTTCAATATCTCCAGGTACTTTTGTGACCCAAATTGTCACCACTTCCTTTATCTTTATCTTTATAGCGTGCTCCCACTCAATCTAGCTAATCTAGAATGCCCCCCTCGTAGGCGCCAATTCCACCATGCGACCAGTGCACTGGTTTCATTAATGAGGTTCTTGGCATAAAAGTTAGCTAGCAAGATTGAAATAAAACACACAGACTCAGTTACCTTTTTCTATGACCAGGTCCGAGACGGCTCCCCTCTCTGGTTCCCACCTCGAACCACCCGGTAGGGCAGCAAGGATTACTCAGGGCTTGCAGGAGAGAGAGAGATGGAGCACGCCAGGGAGTAGCCTTTTATTGGGGAACAAGAAATTCAGGGGAGAATTCCATCCAATGAAGGTTGAGGGGGGCCGCACTCCAAGGTCAGGGTCAGTGATTGGCCCCCAGGGTTAGTGGTCAGTCACACCCCCACACGGATGGGCTCTCTCATCAGGAGAGGGCCAGGAAAGCTCCGACACAGATTAGCCAGAGCTCCTCAGACCCAAACCGGGAGTTGCCCAGTCACGTGTGAGAATGGCTTCCCACAAGGTATGTTTCCAATAACAGTTTAATTTTCTGAGCCTTTATGATGTTAATTGGTCTCATTGGTTTATGTGGTACTGTTGGGGCTCCCATGGATCCTAGCTATTGCTGACTGAGGGTGTGGAAGACATTTTCCTTGAGCAGGATATCTCCTAGTGGGGAAGGGGAGACTCAGACTCATGGGGATGAAGAGGCTTCCTAGGCTAGGTGGCTGGTGGCTTGGTCCCTTTTGCCAGTTCTGCCTCTTCACATATCTTCTGTTAAAGGGAGGGAGTCTCATGTGTATGAAATTAAAAAAGCTTCTGTTCCTTTCCCTTGATGGGGCTGGGTCTCTTTTGCCAATCCTGTCCATTCACCTTGGAATCTCTCACTGAGGTTGGGGAAAGTCTCTACCCCAGCATGGAAGGCAGGTATCTGTCTTGGCTGCTTACTATGGATAAATACCAGGCTAATCCTCTTGGCCAATTTTGTCTTGTTTCTCTGATGTTGTAAGAAGGATTTCCATTCAGGCAACTTTCTATTGATATTATGGGGATTGGAAAGCCCTGGATCTGAGTAACTTTCTTCTGCTGGGATATAAGACACCCTACTATGCTATTCTTCTATCCCTGGACTCCAAACCAGTTTGCCTTCTTCTTAACACGTTTTTAAATTGGTGTATTATAATTATACATGATAGTGGGATTCATTATGCCATATGTGTACATACACATAACATAATTTGATCAGTCTCATTCCTCATTGCCATCCCTTCCCACCTTTTCCTTCCCTGGATCCATTTGCTCTACTCTACTTATTATTATTTTAATTTGTGTGCTATAATTATATTATTATGTTATCTATAAGTGAGGAATTCATTGTGATATATTCATACATGGACACAGCATAATTTGGTAGATTTTATTCCCCAGTATTTCCCTGTTCCCTTTTTAATACTTTTTAGAATTCTCTTTTGGTTGTTTCTTGCATTATTTAATGGGTTTGTGTTTGCAGGGAGGATTGGGGAGAAATCGATCTGTATAATTTTGTTCAGACTGGACCAGAAATCACTTGTTTCTGTACATCTTAATAGCAATCATCATTGACTTTTCTCTCCAATCCTGTAGTTTTTGCTCTGGGAAGCAGATGGCTGATTCTCCTATTTATTCTAACAGGGTTAAAGCTCAAAAATGGCACTGGAAATGAACATCTTAAATCTGTTTCTCCATCAGAAATACAAGCACCAGGATGCAAAGTATCAAAGAAGACCAGAGTGAAAGTTGTCCAGATAACAATGGGCAAGGAAAATCATGATGATATATACAGGGTACAGAAACAGGGTCGAGCTTTACCAAGGAAGAAAAGAAAGAATCTTTCAACTTGCAAACAAGAGCTTCCAAAACATATGGATCTTCACAGGAAAGGATACACAGGAGAGAAACCTTTTAAATGTCAGGAATGTGGGAAAAGCTTCAGAGTTAGCTCTGATCTTATTAGGCACCAGAGAATTCACACTGAAGAGAAGCCCTATAAATGTCAACAATGTGATAGGAGGTTTAGATGGAGTTCAGATCTCAATAAGCACTTCATGGCACATCAAGGAATAAAACCATATAGATGTTCATGGTGTGGGAAAAGCTTCAGTCACAACACAAATCTACACACACACCAACGAATTCACACAGGAGAGAAGCCTTTTAAGTGTCAAGAATGTGGAAAAAGATTTAATCAGAACTCTCACCTTATTAAACACCAGAGAACTCACACAGGTGAGCAGCCTTATACTTGTAGCATGTGCAGGAGAAACTTTAGCAGACGTTCCAGCCTTCTTAGACACCAAAAACTCCATAGGAGTAGTGAAGCATGTTCAGTGTCTCCAGTCTGAAAAAAAGTGACTATATGGAATAACAGAAATGATAAAGGAATACAAAATTATGAGACATCCAATGATAGGAAACTGATTATCAACAGAAAGTTTGGAAGAGGTTTATGTTCTGCATCACAGAAAGGAATCTAAGCTATCTCTATTATTCAGCATTGTATCTTCAGTGCCTAGCACAAGACTGGTACATAATGAGTACATTATAAATAAAAGATTGAAAATATAGGTATCAGATACATCAATAGCTATACATTTATCTAATTATTCAGAGCTTATTCACTCTCAATGACAAAGTCTTTAGGTATCAAGTGTTCAGCAAATGCATGCTGGTCACAAGTCCTACTGTCATTCTTCATTCTTTCTCAGGAGAAATGGAAAATAAGAGTATTCTAGGCCTCCTGAAGGTAACTCAGAGAGGAATTCTGAACTATGGATAGTTTATAGTTGTGATTCTGTCTCCATGGACAACCAAGCCTAGGGTTCAGGAGAACTTCAATAGATTTTTATTTTAAGGAGAACTTTGTAACAGCAAGAGAGGATTCAGTGCTTGTCCTGGGTAAAGTGCTTCTGTTCTAATTGGCTTTTTCCAGAGTCTCCACCACTGCAATGTCTTTTGTTATTGAATTCCAAGCAACAAGGAAAGGCCTGAAGGCCAAAACAGACCTAGGGTCCTTACAAGCACTTGAACTCTACCTTTGCCTTTCAACACAGTCATATAGACTGAAGTGATGATAGAGGCATCCTGGGCCCTTATCCAAATATCTGTCTATTTGTATAAAGAATAGAGCAGTGGTTAATTGATTTTTTGGGTTTTGATCATGTACTCTGGAGGTTTTCAAGTCAGTGCCATATTGTTCTAGGGCCTAATTGAAGTTTCATTTTTATAGCTTACGCAGCCTTAACTCTATACACTAGAATGCTCTACAGGAAGGTCTGAGCATTATTTTACTGATAATGGCAAGGAGAGTCTGTAGCCTCTCTACCTTGGTGCACATCTGACACCAGGAGGGAACATCCAGAAATATCCAAGAAAAGTGAGGTGTGTGGCTTAGAGTTATGGTACTAGTCAGAGCCAGGCTAGATGCAAACTGTTTTCTGATGTAATTTTTCCTTTTTCTCCACTGGTTTAAGTGATTATCTCATAACGGAATATAATGTGAAGGCTGAGGATATAGATGAGTAAGTAGTACAGAGTTGCCTAGTATGCACAAGGCCCTGGATTTAATATCCAGTACTTCCCCCCACAAAATAACAAAAAAGAAAATGTGATATCAAAGGAAATGGAATACATGGATTTTTATCTGTGTCAGAGCCTGGTTTGTGATGTTGGCCAAGGCTTCAGTTTATTTAGTATTTCTCCCCTTCTCCAGTACTGGGGATTGGACACAGGGACAGTATACCACTGGGGTACATCCACAGTACTTTCTGTTTTCTTCTTGAGACATCATCCCACTAAGTTACCCACACTGGCCTCAAACTTGGCACTCTACCACTGAGCTACATCCCCAGCCCTCCACTCTCTGTGTGAATTCATGTCTGCATCCTGGATAGCTGTTATCACATCACCATTCAAAGGACTGGGTCACACTAAGTTGCCCAGACTGGCCTCCTGCCTTAGCATCCTGTGTTTTGTTTGCCACCATGTCCAACCTTTATTTAGAATTTCATGCAATTTTACTTTCTAATAAAAATGAAATGTTTCATATGAAATTTAAGCATTAAAAAAAGCTCCTTTTATATCAAACTACCCAGAAATGGCCAACATTGACTTCTTTGAAATAGATGCTTTCACATTTTTTTCCTCCAAGAGACCTTTCTGAGTCTTTTTGCAGATTACAAAATAGGGATGAAAATTTATACTCCTCAGGGTTCCTGTGAGGATTAAATGAGACACACATGAAAGCATGCCTAATGAACACAACAGATGTTCCGTAAACATTTGGAACATTCTTCATTCATCTCTCATTTAGTTATTTAGAAAAGAAAATAAACTTGGTCTGCTTTTCCAGCTTTTAAGTGTGCTTAATAAGTGTTCCATTGTTTTCAGTTTTTTAGGTCTGTTAGTGATAGAAGGGCATTTCTATCAGATTTCTGGCACATGGCATTCCCTTCTAGAGATGTTCTTCTCTAGTTAACATTAAACAATAAGCTAATGTCTCATTTCAGCTAGATACACTGCTCATGAGTAACAGAACCAAAATGTAATAGAAACTCTCAACTTGAGATGCCTGAAAATGGAGGGGAGGTGATTGATGGTAAGGGGTGGAAATTTTGTGGACAGTATTTATGCCATTAGGTGCATCCTCAAACTAATTGTACTTGAAATGAAAAAGGAAAGAGGTGACTTCATAAAATGACCACTAAAAAGAATGAAAGAGCTAAACCAAGAGGAGGAAGTGATCTGAAAGGGAAGGATCCCATTATATTTCTAAAAGCTTGGAGACTGTCCCTTGTAGAACTAACTGAACTTATACCCTTTGAACCAAGAAGGGGAAATTCAACTTCCTGCAGAGGGCTCCACTCTCTGTGTGAACCCATGTCTGCATCCTGGATAGCTGTTACCACATCACCATTCAAAGGGCATTCATTTATCAATGTAGCTTTTAGAAAAAGGATTGACTCAAAAATTCAAGGAAGCACTGAGTCAGTGGAGCCAGCAGGTAACAAGTCCCCAAAAGTGGGTCAGCAAGAGGGCACTCTGTTTCCACTAAGCTGCTGGCCCCAGTTATAATACTTATTAGCTTCAAAGTTCATCTTACAGATCCTATGTACACTGGCACCATTCCCAGGAGGGGGGTCACAAGCAAGTAACATGTGAGTCCTGTTTGAGAGATCAGTTATTTAAGGAAAGTGATAGAAAATGATTGCCTTTAGATGTGTCTGGGGAGAAACAGAGAAATGAGGTCATCATCATTTGAATACAAGGGCTGCAGGAAGAAGCACATTCTCATCCCAAATTTGTGAAACACAATTTAGAAGTCAGAGATCCTAGCCAACTCATCAATATCCATTATTCCCTTTCAGCCCTTTGACAGTCTTCCAGGCCCCATTTCCCACTCATCCCTCACTCTCTCATGCAGCTTTCACCATCTCAGCAAAAGAAGGAAAGTCCCATATCTGTGGAGAAATGGACAATAAGGAATGAAATGGCAGGATGGGATAAAGGGAGAGATGTCATTCTACCTCATACCTGCCTACTACCTCCCCAGCATATGGCTGAGACATGAACTCCATGGCCTTTCTGAGGACACAGTGGAAAGACAGCATGAAAAAGCTCAGGGACTGGAAAAGTGCACAGTATTCATTTAGGAGACAGAATAAAGAAGTGTATGCTCCAACCCCAAATCCCACAGGAGATCCCACAGTTCATGGACCAAACTGAGGAGACAGGAGCTCACCTGAACCAGGTGTGAACCAGTCTCTGTGCTCCTGGAGAAGATGGGCTGAACAAAGAGAGGATGGGAAAGCAGAGAACAGCAATTCTTTTCCACTCAGGTGTACATTTGTAAGGCCTGAGATTGGAAGTCAAGGGTTTAGGAAGCAAAATGTCAGTGCGTGCTGTGGCTGGCACATAAGAACATATCTGTGGGTTGAGGCCAGCTCATACCAGATCCAGGTCTTCACCTTCCCCTTCCCCACCGATAGTGACATGACTTCTGCCCATGGGCTTGTTTGGGTCACTTCCAGCACCCCCCCCTCCGCCTCCTCCTCTTCTTCCTTCACTTCTCAGTTCCCTCTGCCATAGTCCAAGCCTACTCCTGCCATTTTGCCAATACCATTTCCATTAAACAGGAAAGGATGAGGTGCCAGGGACAGGGCCCAGTGAGTGCTACTGTGTTCTGCTGTTTTTCCCAGGGGAATTGGCATAAGAAATGACAGTGGATAGACATAGCTGGGGAGAGAAGAAGGAACAAGATGGAGTCATGATCTAGTTTTTCCTCAACAGATTTAAATGCATTCCTTGCTACCTCCTCTCTTTATTCCTTGAAAACCAAGAAATGGCAGGTAGGTGGGCATGATGTGACTTGGGGAGGAAGTTGCTTCTAATTTGAAGGCTCCCTATAAAAGTCCTATCCCTGGATCAGCAGTGGTTCATAGTCACTCCTCCTGAGCACTCTCCTTCTTTGCCTTCCTTTTCTTTCTCTGTGCCCCCTGTTCCTTAAAACCATGGTGGGTTCAGACTAGGGACATAGCTGTGGAAGAAGGAACAATGGGATAACTCTCCCAAGATCAATGATCATGAGTATATGAGGGGAGAGGGAAGGATCCGTGGTTGAAAGCTGCATAGGGACCATGTTTTCTGATTTTAGCAGGGAAAGGAGAGAGGGAAGGAGGCAAGACCAGCTTCTGGAAGTGAGTTGTGCTCCAGGGCTGGGATTTAGGGAGGTAGTGGAGATGAAGATCTAGGCAACACCAAGAAGGGTTTTCTTATGTTTCTTCTCAGGCTCTAGGTATCTCCGTATGAGACTTGGAATGGCATGAAGGAACCGACTCTAACATGAGGGCTGCAGCAGACACTTCAGAGAAAGTTCATAGTCAGAGCATAAACTTTCATACATGGGGGTTTGTCTCTTCAGGTTGTACCCAGGAATCTATTCATCTACAAGCTTTCCTTAGGGAGGCCCTCAATTTCCATAAGGGAGTGATTCTGGTTTTCCTTCTTTACCTCATGCCCCATTCTAATGTAAATGACAGGAGTATAGGAGTATAAGGATCCTATTTTGGTGACATTCCCGATGTTAGAGGCTGGTGCAAGTGGTCTCTTGGTTGCCTCTTATAAATCCATTCTTAGGGTGGTATGGGTTTTTGTTCTTAGAGGATGCCAAACCTGTCTTTCTCTCAGGATGTCTCCTCATCAGGGGCTCCATTTCCAAGCTCTTGAAGAAAGAACTGCTCTTTTAACAGGGAGTGTCATGTCCTCTCAAAGTACTTCTTGTCCCTGTGCCCTGTATGATTGAGAAATCATCCTCTTTCTACCCATTTTCAGGTGAGAAAGCATAGGGTAGCAAGCCAAATGCTGGATGAGCCTAATGACTTTAGGGTTAAGTATTAACTTAATTTTCACCTTGTTTTCATCCATTTCACAAATATGCACATTTTTAAGTGCAGGTACAAAATCTCCACATGTTCCCTTAATTTTGAGGTTCTCTATGCCTCTTTCTAATCTCTCCTGTTTCTGTCTCTAGGACTGCCAACGTTCTTGGTGCCCTTCACATACTCTGGTAGATGGGCCTGCACTAGTTCTGGGGTTTCCCTAGGTAGGCAGCCCTGGAAATGTTCTTGACCCAGCACCTTTACCATCTGGCACATCAGTCACCAATCACAAAGTTGGCTGCATTGACTCTGGCAGCATCTGGGGGTGTTACTGAATCAAATACCTAGGATGCAACTCTTGTGCCTCCCCAACCATCATATATGCCTGATGGCCCTTTGTCACTCAGTCTGCCCAGCACACTCTCTCTCTAAGAACTTCCCTGGCAGAAGTCACACAGAAGCCTGAAAAGATATAGCAGGGAAACAAAAGCTCTTCCTTCTCTTCAGGGAGATTTGCCTTGCTCTGAGCACTCTTATCTTTTGCCTCATTCTGGAGCCTGGCAGGAGCAGGATCCATCCAGCAACCTAGAGATAAACTTCACAATGGACACTATGAAGGAGACTCAGCATGATTTCTTAGGCCTGCCCAAAGTTCTCACAGGAGTTGAGGACTGCCTCCAACAGTACGGGTGGGTCCTCATCTCTCATATTTGCAGCTCCTCAACCCCTGTAGGTCAGCAGCAGCCTTGGCACTGGAGGCCCAGAGAGGCCTCTAGAGATGTCTGAAGAGCAATTCTTTGGGAGTCTTTCATCAGCTAGGTCTTTAGAACAAGGGTTACTTGTGCCTGGGAGTACACAAAGACTGAAGGAATTCAGCATGGGAGTTGTAAAGGAATCCATTTCCAAATCCTCACTTCCATATATTCAGAAGAAAATGTTAAAGGAGGTTCTCTTTTCCTACCTACTCATTACTACCCAACTTTCATCACTCTCCTCTGTCCTTAATGCTGCATTGCCTTAGAGTTTAGCATCTGCCATGAGGCAAAGTAGATTTCAAATGAACACTAGGTGTACAATTTTCCTCTTGACCTGCAAGACTTTGAGCAAATAACAATGCTCCAATGAGCCCTGGTTTCTGCCTCCCTGAAGTAAGATAGTCAAAGTTGTCCCACTCACTTCATAGAATGGCTTTTAGGACCAAATTAGAGGCTGTAAAGTCATACTTAATAACTTTATAAATGTTGGAGTTATTTACATCATTACTATTATTATATACAAGGAGTTTGCATTCTTATCTACTTTCACAATTTATTGAGTATAATGAAGAAAGTGTAGATGTTAGTGTATCCTATTTGGAGAGAATCCAATATATTAAACTCAGTAACTTCTTTTATATAATTCAACAATGCCATAGAAGAATTCAACCCATGGCCCTGTGGAAAATGGGGGTAACCTGCAGTTTTCCCCCTTATAAGGAAGGAGAAAGGGAATAGAGATGTGGAAAATAGCAACAGTGTTTGATTTTTCTTTTACTCATAGCTTGACTTCATGGATTTAGTTTAATGGAGAAAGGCTCTCTCTACTGAAAAATCAACATTTTTTTTTGGTACCAGGAATTGAACCCAGGGATGCTTTACTACTGAGTCACATTCCCAGCCCTTTTTTTATTTTTTATTTTGAGACAGGGTCTCAATAAGTTGCTTAGGGTCTTGCTAAGTTGCAGAGGCTGGCTTTGAACTTGAGATTCTCCTGCCTCAGCCTCTTGAGCTGCTGGGATTACAGGCGTGTACCACTGTACCTGGTGAAAATCAGCATTTGGGTAGGTATCCATCTGTGTTAGAAAGTTCTCAAAATCTCTCCATCCATAATTATTGCTGAGTACCTACCATGTGTATCAGGCACTAGAAATACAATATGAGCAGAACACACAAGGTCCTTGACTTTACAAAGTTTACTGTATATTGGAGAAGTAAA